GGTGCAGCTTTAATTATGTTTCACCATATGCAAATACATTACTTTCCACTTTTTAAAGTAAGACCGACCAGACATGGTGGCTCACGCCTGTAATCCCAGCACTATGGGAGGCCAAGGTGGGTGGATCACTTGAGGCCAGGAGTTTGAGACCAGCCTGTCCAACATGGTGAAACCTCATCTCTACTAAAAATACAAAAAATTGGCTTGGCATGGTGGCATGCGCCTATAATCCCAGCTACTCGGAGACTGAGGCAGGAGAATTGCTTGAACCCTGGTGAAACCTCATCTCTACTAAAAATACAAAAATTAGCTGGGCATGGTAGTGGGTGCCTGTAATCCCAGCTACTCGGGAGGCTGAGGCACAAGAATCGCTTGAACCCAAGAGGCGGAGGTTGCAGTGAGCCAAGATCATGCCACTGTACTCCAGCCTGGCCAGAGAGCAAGACTCCGTCTCAAAAAAACAAAAAGGAGAGGCTAGGCGCATCGGCTCACACCTATAATCCCAGCAAGATGGGAGGACAAAGTAGGTGGATCACTTGAGGTCAGGAGTTCAAGACCAGCCTGGCGAACGTGACAAAAACCCGTCTCTACTAAAAATATTCAAATTAATAAGGCATGGTGGTGCGTGTTTGTAATCCTAGCTAGTCGGGGGACTGAGGCAGGAGAATTGCTTGAACTGGGAGGTAGAAGTTGCATTAAGCTGAGATGGCACCACTGCACTTCAGCCTGGGTGACATAGCGAGACTGTCTCCAAAGGAAAAAAAAAAAAAAAGTTTGTCAATGCACCCCAGTAAAGTCAAGGGACTGAAATATAAGAGGAATGCAATGTACAAGGCAGAATGCAGGGGCATTGGAGCTGGAAGTGATCTTAGGGAACACGGAGTTACAGAGGGACAACAAGATGCCATTTCTTGCTCAACTCCAGGCCACTGGCACCAGTCACCTGGAGGGCTGCTTGAACATAACTCAGTGGGAAAGAACCCCTTGAGTGACTGTGGGTGTCTGCTGTGGGCATGAGGAGTGAGGGCAGGGCCCTGTATTTGACATGCTTGGAATCTAACCCCTTCATTTTCCATGTGACAAAACCTAGAGCCAGTGAGGTGAGATGACCAGCTTTGGGGTCACACTGTGAGCTGGCAGTAGAACGTGGCAAGTGTCCTGAGTCTCAGAAGAACATTCCAGTCCTCTAAGCCAGGGGCTGGCCAAGGATGGCTGAGGTCCACATTTGGCCCACACCTGTTTACATGCGGCCCATGAGCTCAGCATTGATTTCCTTTTTTTTTTTTTAATTTTTTTTGAGACAGAGTCTTGTTCTGTTGCCCAGGCTTAGAGTGCAGGGGCATGACCTCGGCTCACTGCGATCTCCGCCTCCTGGGTTCAAACGATTCCCTTGCCTCAGCCTCCCAAGAAGCTGGGATGACTGGCGTGCTTCATCACGCCCGGCTAATTTTTTTTGGGGGGTCGGGGGGAGGGGAGATGTGGCGGGCAAGGAAAAGGGTCTCACTCTGTTGCCCAGTCAGGAGTGCAGTGGCATGATCTTGGCTCACTGCAACTTCTGCCTCCTGGGTTGAAGCAATCCTCTTGCCTCAGCTTCCTGAGTAGCTGTGAATACAGGTGAGCACCACCACTTCCAGCTAATTTTTGTATTTTTAGTACAGATGGGGTTTCACCATGTTGGCCAGGCTGGTCTCAGTCTCCTAGCCTCAAGCAACCCACCCGCCTCAGTTTCCCAAAGTGCTGAGATTACAGGCATGAGCCCCTGCACCCAGCCAGATTTCATATTTTTTAAAAGCTAAAAAAAAAATTAAAAGAATATTACATGACACATGCAAATTCTATAAAATTCAAATATTGGTGTCTCCAAATATAGTTTTACAGGAACATAGCCACACCCATCGGTTTCCGTATTATCTAAGGCTGCTTTTGCACTACGCTGGAAGAGACTGGTATTTGTAACAGAGACTGTATGGCCCGGAATTCCGAAAGTATTGACAGAAAAAGTTTCTTTACTCCTACTTTCTCTCAGTCTCTCTCGAATTTCAATGTGCATATACACCACCTAGAAAAGTAGTTACAACACCGATTCAGTTTCAGTGGATCTGGGCTGAGGTCTGAAATTCTGCACTGTTAACAAGCACCAGGTGATGCCATGGCTGCTGATCCAAGGATCACACTATAGGTAGTGAGGATCCACACCAGTGTCTCTACATGTCTACCTGAACCAGCAGCAGCAGCACCCAGGGATATGTCAGGAATGCAAATACTCAGGCCTCACCCAGACCTGCTAAAACTGAAAATCTGGGTGGGGCCCAGAAAGCTGAGTTTTATAGTAACAAGCCAGCACAGTGGCTCACGCCTGTAATCCCAGCACTTTGGGAGGCCAAGGCGGGTGGATCGCCTGAGGTCAGGAGTTCAAGACCAGCCTGGCCAACATGGTGAAACACCATCTCTACTAAAGATATTTTAAAAATTAGCCGAGCGTGGTGTCGCACGCCTGTAATCCCAGCTACTCGGAGGCTGAGGTGGAAGAATAGCTTGAACCCGGGAGGTGGAGGTTACAGTAAGCCAAGATCGTGCCACAGCAATCAAGCCTGGCCGACAGACTGAGACTTCATCTCGATAGACAGATAAATAAAACATAGTAACAAGCTCTCCAGGTGATTGTGATGCAGGCTTGAATGTGAACACCATCTCTCCTGCAGTTCCAGACCCTGACAGATGTAAGGCAAGACTAAGAAAATTCACTGTCAGCATGAACACGCTTTTGCAAATGCTGAAACGGCTGGAGCTTCCTTAGACATTCCACCTGCAACCCAGCTAAGATGAAGCAGGTGGTAGTTGAACAGAAAAGTTCCATATTCATAAACATGTTTAACTCCGCTTCACAGAAACTTGCCAGAAAAACACACGATTTGCCAACCTGACCAAGAAGGAATAGTTGTAATGAGCACAACATTACAAAAAGAATCACACCGTTAATAAAAAGAAGACAGAAAGAAAAAACAAACACGGGGCATGATCTGAAGTCATCCTTCACCATTAACTGTTTTTAACTGTGCTTAAAAGGGAATTTCCATAGTCCATCTCTATGCGGTCTCCTGATTTGCAGCCAATTTTGCAAAATGGTAAGTTGCACTATTGTCTTTAAACTTTTCAAAGTCAGCTAGGCAGGGAAAGACCCGTTACCATACCCCAGGACAGGTGCCAGAACTTTCAGTGTAGCAAGGATCATAATAGAAAAAAAAAACCAAAAAACAGGGAACAACCTGTTTTTGCAAGGAACGGGAGAAAGGGTAATTCCAGCAGGGCACATCCACACGTGAGACAAGCATCCATCATGAACACAAATGAAGCAAGCCGGGCATGGCAGCAGTGCACCTGGAGTCCCAGCTACTTCGAAAGCCAAAGCAGGTGGATTGCTTGGGACCAGGAGTTCAAGGCTGCAGTGAGCTACGATCGCACCACTGTACTCCAGCCTGGGGGACAGAGTGAGACACCAGTTCAAAACTCCCCCCCGCCAAAAAAAAAAACTAAAATGAAGCAGATCAGAATGAATGAACTAAGACTATATATTATTAACTACACAACAGAGAACACTATGTACAGTATGATTCCATTTAAATCTGTCAAAATATTTAAATACCTAGATGCTTGTCCATTTTTTTCTAAAAGCATACAGAAAACTGTCACTTTGGAGGAGAGGAACTGATGGAAGAGAGGACAATACACTTTTCGTTTTACATCTTTCTGTATTTTTCTTTTTTTTCCACGATGGATGACAAATATTTGTTCAGCACCTGCTATGCACTATTTTACATACTGAGGATATAGCAGTCAACAGAAAAGACAAAAATGCCATCTGGAGCTGACATCCTAGTGGGGAAGGGCAGACAATAAAATAAGTCTATTTGATTTTTTTTAAAAACATTTTTAAAATTTTTTTGAGACAGGGTCTTGCTCTGTTGCCCAGGCTGGAGTGCCATGGCTCGATATCGGCTCACTGCAACCTCTGCCGCCCAGGTTCAGGGGATTCTCATGTCTCAGCCTCCTGAGTAGCTGGGAATATAGGCATACACCACCATGCCCAGCTAATTTTTTTTTTTTTTTTTTTTTTTTTAAAGCAGAGACAGGGTTTCACCAGGTGGACCAGGTTGGTCTCGAGCTCCTAGCCTCAAGTGACCCACCTCAGACTCCCAAAGTACTGGGATTACAGGCATGAGCCACCGCACCCAGACCAAAATAAGTAAATTTTAGAGTGTGTTTAGACCATGCCACTTGACATGTGGCCCACGGGACACTGACAATCCACACTTTGTGACCAGTTGCTGATAAAATAAGGAGGCAGCACCATAATGTAGATCAACTATGGCACCAAGCGTGCCACTTGGCTCAGCTTACACTTTGTTTCTTGCAAGGCTATCTAAACACAGCAAGCAGAGGGCACTGGTTTGCATCCTGGCACAAGCTGCCTATATCACAGTGAACAGATAACAAACAATTCCTAAACAGGTTGGCTAAGAAGCTGCTAAATGTGAATAAAATAAAGAAGAATGGAGAAGATGGCAAATGTTTAAGGCAAGTGTTTAGGGAAGGCCTTGCTGACATAGTTACCTTTTTTTTGTTTTGTTTTCTTTTCTTTGAGACAATGTCTCGCTGTCGCTCAGGCTGGAGCGCAGTGGCGTGATCTTGGCCCTCTGCAACCGTCGCGTCCCAGGTTGAAGCAATTCTCTTGCCTCAGCCTCCCGAGTAGCTGTGACTACAGGCATGCGCCCCTACGCCTGGCTAAATTTTTTGTATTTTTAGTAGAGACTGGGTTTCACCATGTTGGCCAGGTTGTTCTTGAACTCCTGACCTCTGGTGATCCACCTGCTTTGGCCTCCCAGAGTGCTGGCATGAGCCACTGCACCTGGGCGACATAGTGACCTTTTAAAAATATTCAGGTATGCAGACAAAATAAAACATCAAATAATGAGGGCCAGGAAATATGTGGCTTCACTCACCAGGAAGGGTGTGCAGACCCAGGTGAAGGTGCCCACGGCTGCCAGGTAGGCAGACTTCTTCAGCACCTTCAGCTCCTCCTGCCTGATGGCCAACACCTTGTCCTTGAATGCCAGCTCCCAGGCATAAAGCTTTAGCACCTTGATCCCATTGAGAATTTCATTCATCAGCTTGATCCGATTGTCTTTGCTCTTCATGTGGGCCACCTTGGAAGAGAAAGGCAGTCAACACATGTGGGGCGACCCTGGGATCAGACCATCACTCAACATCACCAGCTATTCTTTCTCATAAATTTTATTATATGCTTTGACATGTCAATTTTTTTTTTTTGAGACGGAGTCTGGCTCTGTCGCCCAGGCTGGGGTGCAGTGGCCAGATCTCAGCTCACTGCAAGCTCCGCCTCCCGGGTTTACGCCATTCTCCTGCCTCAGCCTCCCGAGTAGCTGGAACTATAGGCGCCCGCCACCGCGCCCGGCTAGTTTTTTGTATTTTTTAGTAGAGACGGGGTTTCACTGTGTTAGCCAGGATGGTCTCGGTCTCCTGACCTCGTGATCCGCCCGTCTCGGCCTCCCAAAGTGCTAGGATTACAGGCGTGAGCCACCGTGCTCGGCCGTGAATGTTTTTTATATTGATTTTTTCTTTTCAATAGAGATGGGGTTTCAGCACACTGCCCAGACTGGTCTCAAACTCCTGTGCTGGGATTACAGGTGCGAGCCACCTCACTGGGCCTCAACATCACTGTCTATTAAAAACAGGCCTCCTGAGGGTGGGAGAGCTGACCCTGTAACCCCTATGAGCCCTACTCTTGAGTCCCAAGACCACACCAAAGGACCCTGCTATCAAGGAAAAAAAAACCCTTCAAATCATGTTAGGTTGATTTGGAGAAACACACTCACTGGAGAAACACACTCAACTTCGAATCCAGAAATAGAGGCAAGAAAAACCCTTCAAGTGTCCAGAAAAGAAGGGATTCAGTCCCTATTCTGCTGACCCAAACACAGGAGACATGGTGGTGGTGGTTTTCTTCTCTGTTTTCTTATTTTTTCTTTTTTTTTTGTGAGACAGTCTCACTCTGTCGCCCAGGCTGGAGTACAGTAGCATGATCTGGGCTCACTGCAACCTCTGCCTCCCGGGTTAAAGAGATTCTCCTACCTTAGCCTCCTGAGTAGCTGGGACTATAAATGCCTGCCACCATACCTGGCTAATTTTTCTATTTTTAGTAGAGACGGGGCTTCACCATGTTGGCCAGACTGGTCTCGAACTCCTGACTTCAAGTGATCCACTGACCTCAGCCTCCCAGAGTGCTGGGATTACAGATATGAACCACCACACCTAACCTGTTTTATTTTATTTCTTGTCAGCCCAGTTTTCTTTTTTGGGGAACAGCATCTCACTCTGACATCCAGGCTGGAGTGCAGTGGCAGGATCATAGCTCATTGCAGCCTTGAATTCCTGGGCTCAAGCAATCTTCCCACTTCAGCCTCCTTAGTAGCTGAGACCGCAGGCACATGCCACCACATCTAGTTCATTTTCGTATTTTTTTGTAGAGACGGCATCTTGCTATGTTGCCCAGGCTGGTCTTGCACTCCTGGCCACAAGTCATCCTCCTCTCTCAGCCTCCCAAAGAGCTGGGATTACAGACATGAACCCCTGTGCCTGGCCCATGGTTGTTAAAATAGTGAAATGTTTCTGTACTGGCTAGCACTGGTTCCAAACAGTGGAAACTTGTGCAGTACAGTTGTTAAATATTTTTAATACCACCAGCATTCTGTGTATACCAGCAACTTTTCTAAGTACTTTACATGTATTCAGACACTTAACATTCACAAGAACTCTATCATCAAGTGCTACAGTCATCTCCGGGTCACAGATGGGAACAATTTAAGCTACATGATATCGAGGCCAGCGACTGAAGTGGGTTCAGAGTCGGGTCACTCAGGGAATCCTACATATCAGAGACTGAAGGGTGACTCGACCCTAAAACCCCTGCCTCACCCAACCCTAACCCGTGAGGTCTCTCCTTCCAACGGGCCCATGTCCTGAAACTCATCTCCCTGTGGTACCATCAGTGCAGCCAAGTGCTCCCATTTGAAATTCCTCAGCACATCATCAATATTCATCAACATAAGAGCACAGAAATAAACCGCACCATCTCCGTTATGGACCAAAAGGCACCAGGTCGGAAGAATGAATTGAAGCTATACAGCATAGCACAGAGAGGCCCCCAAAGCAGGGCACTAAAAGACAAAAATCACGCTGCCACGTAGGCCCATTTAGGTAAAAACAGATATGGTAATAATATCACACACACACAGACAAACATATATAATGGCCAGGCATGGTGGCTCATGCCTGTAATCCCAGCACTTTGGGAGGCCAAGGCAGGTGGATCACCTGAGGTCAGGAGTTCAAGACCAGCCTGGCCAACATGGTGAAACCCCATCTCTAATAAAAACACAAAAATTAGCTGGGCATGGTGACAGACACCTGTAATCCCAGCTACTCGGGAGGCTGAGGCAGGAGAATTGCTTGAACCCGGGAGGCAGAGGTTGCAGTGAGCCAAGATTGCACCATTACACTCCAGCCTGGGCAACAAAGTGTGACTCCATCTCAACAAACAAAAAAACCCCACATATATAAAAACCAAACCTAATTACACCATTAATCAGGTCTGTATATACATACATAGAAAATTCTAGAAGGAGTTGCTTCTATATATTTGCAGTGGTTGAGAGAGTAGGGAAGGGGGTATCCCCTTTTAAGTACTTTGTATGATTTAAACTTTTTTTTTTTTTTTTTTTTTTTTTTGAGACAGGGTCTCACTCTGTTGCCCAGGCTGGAGTGCAGTGGCACAATCATGGCTCACTATAGCCTCGACCTCCTGGGCTCAGGTGATCCTCATGCTTCAGCCTCCCAAGTAGCTGGGACTACAGGCACGCATCACCACACAATGCTAACTTATCCATTTGTGGTAGAGACGGGGTTTCACCATGTCTCCAAGGCTAGTCTTGAATTCCTAAGCTCAGGCGATCCACCCAACTTGGCTTCCCAAAATGCTGAAATTACAGGGGTGAACCCGGCTTGAAGTTTTTTATAACAAGAAACCACACTCTATTACTTGTGTATTTAAACATTTTAAAATACAAAATATCTCCAAAAATAAAAATCTGAAAGCCGGGCATGGTGGTTCACACCTGTAATCCCAACACTTTGAGAGGCTGAGGCAACACGATCACTTAAGCCCAGGAGTTTGAGACCAGCCTGGGCAACAGAGCAAGGCCCCATCTTAGAAATTAATTACTTATTTTAATTTAAATAAAGACATTAACACCATGTCTGGTACAAGGTAAGACCTAATAAGAGGGAAAAAAGTAGGGGGTATTTTGCACTCACCTCTTGAAAGCTGAGTCTTACACACACATAATAAACAAGACGATGGGAAACAAAGATTCTCAGAGGCTCCCAGACCTTCTGATTCCAGTCACCGGCCTACAAGGTCTAACCATGTGTCAGGAGCTCTCAATCTTGGCTGCCCAATATAACGACCTGGGAAGCTGAACATCTTGATGTCCAGACCCCCACTCACGATAAGTGAATCAGAATCCCAGATACGGGGCCTGGGCATCAGCATTTGTTAAAGCTCCCCAGGTGACTCCAACTGGCAGGCAAGGCTGAGAACTCCAGGGACTGAGCAGAAGGAACTGGACTAAAATCTGCATGGAGAGGCTCCTGCCTAGGGCCTGGCTTGGGGGCCCGCAGAGACACACGCCTTACCTGATACGTCTTGGTCTTCATCGCCATCACAGCATTGACGGGCACCATGAGGACCATCACGGCCACTCCAGCCAGGATGGGAGGGCCCAGGTTCTAAGGAAGGAAAGGAGACTCTTAATCACTCACCAGACAGAAGAAAGCAGGGCCCTTAACAGCTTCCCGGCTGATTAATCCCATGTGGATGCTGCTGACCAAGTTCAGGACAAGGTGTGTTACTTTTACCCCACAATAGGGTGTTAAGAGCCTGTGGTTTCATTCCTGAGCATCTCTCTGGGTCCTCCCAATCCCTTGAAGAATAAGCAAGTCCATGCTCCTTTCTCCCAAGCGCCTGGGGCCACGTGAGTTGTGTAAATCACAACTTTAGAATTCTAATTTTTTTTTTTTTTTTTTTTTAGGAGATGAGATTTCGCTATGTTGCCCAGGCTGCAGTACAGTGGCTATGTGTATCAGTGATCCACCTACTTCAGTCTCCAAAGGAGCTGGGACTACAGGTAAGCATTAAGTCTTGCTACACTGCCCAGGTTGGTCTTCAACTCCTGGGCTCCAGCAATCCTCCCAATTCAGCCTCCCAAGTAGCTATGACTACAGTCACACCACCATGCCCAGCTAATTTTTTGTTGTTGTTTTTTTTGTAGGGACAAGGTCTCACTATGTTTCCCAAGCTGGTCTCGAACTCATGGGCTCAAGCGATCTTCCCACCTCTGCCTCCCAAGTAGCTGGGATTACAGGTGCGAGCCACCACACCCAGCTTAGATTTTTAGAAAGGTAATAAGGTAGTAAGCAGAAAAGTGTGAACATGACCACCTGACTGCTTATCCTGCTTGAAGGCTACTTACAAGTTTAGCCCTTGGCTAGTGTCTGCATACTTGCAGGGCTTCCACCAATAACAGAATTGGTAAGAGTGGCTCAGTGTGCCTCACCTGTTTGTACCAACAATATGGTTTATGCTGAACACCGCTTTTCCCTCTAGGAGTCTAGACTTTTGGTATGTGCCAAGCAAAGGGTGCTTATGTGACCTGCCCCTAAAAAACCCCAAGCACTGGGCTCCTACCAAGCTTCCCTGGTTGGCAACATTTCACATGCATCATCATAATGGTGGCCAGAGAATTAGTGCACCTGTGTGACTCTGCTGGGGACTCCCAGAAACCTCTACCTGGCTTACTTTGAACACTGCCCCATGTGTTCCTTAATCTTTGCTAATTTTGCTGTATTAACTTATAGCCTTGTGGCCAGGTGCAGTGACTCACACCTGTAATCCCATCACTTTGGGAGGACAAAGTGGGAAGATAGCTTGAGGGTGTAAGTTCGAGACCAGCCTGGGCAACATAGCGAGACCCCATTTCTAAAAAAAATAAATAACTTAGCCAAGCATGGTGGCGTGAACCTGTGGTACCCAACTAGATGAGAGGACAAAGTGGGAAAACTGCTTGAGACCAGGAATTTAAGGCTGCAGTGAGCTATGATCCCATCACTGTACTCCAGCATGGGCAACAGAGCAAGACTCTGTCCCTTAAAAGGAAAAACAAAGTAACAAAAAAACAAGACAGCTCCCACAACAAAGAACTGTCTGGTCCCAAGTGTCAACAGTGCTGAGCTCAAGCAACTACCATCTAAAACAAGATGTGATGTTAGACAATTTTCTTAATGGTTCATAAACCAATCCTGAAGCCAATTCTAAAAGAAATGTTCCCAAAATATTTTTCCCATAGTAGCACTTTTGCGAAAGTAGATTCCCCAAGACATCTGCTTGAAAAGACATTCATTCAGATTTTTATTTTTTCTTCTAGAGACAGGGTCTTGTCTTGCCACCCAGGTAGGAGTGCAGTGGTGTGATTCGAGCTCACTGCAGCCTCTGAACTCCTAGGCTCAAGCAATCCTCCTGCCTCAGCCTCCAGGGTAGCTGGGACCACAGGTAGGCACCACCACACCCAGCTAATTTTTTTTTTTTTTTGTAGAGACAGGGTCTTACTATGTTACCCAGGCTGGTCTCAAACTCCTGACTTCAAGCAATCCTTCCACCTCAGCCTCCCAAAGTGCTGGGATTACAGGCACATTCCACCTATATCTGTGCCCAGCCTATCAGATAATTAAATTCTGGTGTTTTTTTCTGAGTGTTATTATTAGAAACACTTTACTCACCTTCTGCTCTACAGATGTATAAAAAAAGCAAACTACAGACAAATAAACCAGTAATTTTTTCCTCTTCCTTTTTCTCTCTTTTTTTTTTTTTTTGAGACAGAATCTCGCTCTGTTGCCCAAGCTGGAGTGCAGTGGCGCAATCTCAGCTCAATGCAACCTCTGCCTCCCGGATTCAGGCCATTCTCCTGCCTCGGCCACCCAAGTAGCTGAGATTATAGGCATATACCACCATGCCCAGCTAACGTTTATATTTTTAATAGAGACAGGGTTTTGCCATGTTGGCCAGGCTGGTCTCCTGGCCTCAGATGATCCACCCACCTCGGCCTCCCAAAGTGTTCAGATCACAGGCATGAGCCATTTCGTTCAGCCCTTCTCTTTCAATAACAGGTAATCATTTGAGCTGTGCCCATTATGCACCAGGCCCTGCTGGGGTTGTACCCACGGAAGACACAAAAGTCAGCTGCTGTGTGTCTGCAAGTAGCTAACATGTTACCCGTCAAAGAGGAGGCAGTACACTGAGCATGAAAAAAAAACCAAAAAACTATTTCAGAAAGTGGGCCAGGCACAGGGGCTCACGCCTGTAATTCCAACACTTGGGGAGACCACAGCGGGTAGATCAGCTGAGGCCAGGAGTTCAAGATCAGCCTAGCCAACATGGTGAAACTCCGTCTCTACTTAAAAATACAAAAAAAAAAAAGAAAAATTAGTGGGCTTGGTGGTGTAGCCCTGTAGTTCCAGCTACTCGGGAGACTGAGGCAGGAGACCTGCTTGAACCTGGGTAGCAGAGGTTGCAGTGAGCCTAGATGGCACACTGTACTCCAGCCCAGGCAACAGAGCGCGACTCCATATCAAAAAAAAAAAAAACTACTCCAGAAAGTATTATTAGACGAGTTCCTATACTAAAGTTACTGGGATTCAAAATTCAAAAAAACGAGAAAGTCCATCTAATTCAGAGGGGAGGGGAAATCAATGCAAGTAGTGTCTGCTACAGCCTGGGGGGATGAGCAGGCTTAAATCAATTAGGAAGGAAGGAAAGGCAGGTGACAAAGACCCAGAAGTGGCAAAGCACAAGGCATGTGTTGTGCTATTAGCCTCTTTGCTCATCATCATTTTATTTTAGGAACTCTCCCTCCTCACATGGAAGGGCTGTCAATCACATCTCTTCTGCCATGGGAGAGGACATGTGACCCAGGCTGGCCAATCAGTGAACTCTGCCTCCTGGGCTACAGTGATGTGGTTCAGGGGTGTGAACAGGACCAAGCCAGGCCAATCAGAGTGCTCTCTGAGACTGACTCTGGCTGTGCAGAGAAATGCTGCCTTGTCTTTTCTCTGGCACCTTTATCTGTCAGGATGTTATCAGCCCAAAGCTATGGAGCCATGTGGGGAAGTACCACTGAGAATGATGTCAACTCAGAGGACAAGAGGACTAGGAAATGATGAGTGAGTGAGTGAAACTGAGTACTGACAACATTGCCTGATCTCCTGGATCAATCCACACCTGAAGCTAGTCCCCAGATTTCTGAGATACATGCAGCCCCAAAGTTCCCTTTATTTACTTAGGCTACTTTAAGATAGATGTCTATCCCTTGCAATTGAGAGAATTTTGACCACCATAATTAGGGACCAGTGAATAAGTGAGTCTGGTCAGCGTTTGGGAGGATTCAACAGGAGAGATATGTGTCCATTGTAGCGGAGTTAATTACTGACACTGTCAAGGAAAGAGAAAATGAAAACGCCAGGCCACCAAGGAGAACATCAACCTGACAATTCAGGAAAGGAACAAAATACCGAGGAATTGGTTAACAGGCTGGAAAATAAGATATGAACGACAGCCGGAACTGCCAGGGAGCTATACATGCCATTACCACCAACACCCACTCCCTCAGCCCGCTGCCCACACGTACGAGTCCCTCCCTGCATGCAAAGGGGAACGGCGTCAAACACACACCCGCCACAGGAGGTAGAGAGCAAGGATGACTTGCAGGGGGGCTGACCAGATCATGTTAATGTATGTGGCCAAGTCCATGAACCTCTGGGCGTCCACAGACATGAGGTTGACGATCTCCCCGACCGTGGAGGATTTTCTGGCTGCATTGGTGATCACCAGGGCCTGTGGGACAAACGAGAGGGAAGGTGGGTGAGTGCGGTGGGTGAAGAGGCCTGACTCTCCCTCCAGGCCCACGAAGAGGAAGGAGACTTTCAGGGGCGGAAATGCCGCAGAGATCTCTGCTCCTGCCCTCCTGACCTATCTGTCTGCCCAGGATGCCTCTGTCATCTCAAAGCCCACATTCTTATCCATGGTGCTGCCTCCTAACCTCGAACTCATCAACTGGCAAGGGACCTTAGGTGTCCTCAAAACCAGGTCTTCACATGCTTTAATGTGCACACATGCAGCCGGGTTTTTTGCGGGGGAGTGGTAGGGGGTGGGGGGAGTTGGTTCAGATCCTGCAGGTCTGGGATGTGGCCTGGGATTCTTCATTTCTACTATGCTTCCATGCCGCGCCAATGCTGCTGGTCGCAGATCCCACTGAAGGATCAAGGGTCTGGGCCAGGGTCTCTAAGTCTTGGCATTCTTGACATCTGGGGCTGGATAATTCTTTGGGGGTCTGTCTATCTTGTACACTGTAGGAGGTTTACCAGCATCCCTGGCCTCCACTCACTACATGCCCTCACCCCCAGTTGGAACAACCAAAAATGCCCCCAGATATTGCCAAACATGCCCTGGGGGCCGGGGTGCAAATCTCCCTGGCCCTCAAACATGGTTGTACACCATCGTCTGGTGAGTTTTAAAAACACTAAGACATTAGCAGGTGTGGTGATGCACGCCTCTGGTCCCAGCTACATGGGGGACTGAGGTGGCAGGATCGCTTGAGTCCAGGAGGTGGAGGCTGCAGTGAGTCAAGATCGTGCCACTGCACTCCAGCCTGGGTGACAGAGCGAGACCCTGTCTCAAAAAATAAAAATAAATAAAAAATAAAAACACTGACACCTGGGTGCAACCTCAGCAATCTCAATTTCACTGGTCTGGTACAACCTAGGTGTCAGGAAGTTTTTTCGAGACAGGGTCTCATTCTGTCACACAGGATAGAATGGAGGGCTACCATCAGGACTCACTGCAGCCTCCAACTCCTGGGCTCAGGCGATTCTTTTAACTCAACCTCGTGAGTAGCTGGGACTACAGGTGCACACTACCATACCTGGCTAATTTTTTTTATTTTCTGCAGAGTGGGGTCTTGTTATATTGACCAGGCTGGTATTGAACTTCCAGCCTCCAGTGATTCTCCCATCTTGGTCTCCCAAACTGCTGGGATTACAGGCATGAGTCACAGTGCCTGGCCTATAGCAGTTAAAGCTCCCCAGGTGAGTCTAATTCACAGACAGGCTTGAGAATCACCCTTCTAGTTCATCAAGTATCTGCGAGACTGCCTCTTCCTAACCTATAGGCCAAGTAGTTTCCTTGACCTCGAGATAAAAAAAAAAAAAATGTATAGGGATCAAGAAGATAATTTGGTTCCTTTGAAACTGGATGTACACAAATGCCTGCTACATACTCTTATCATGCAAGGAATGTGCCACCTGCTCAGTTCAAATTAAGAGTGACAACAGGCTGGTTGCAGTGGCTTATGCCTGTAATCTCAGCACTTTGGGAGCCTGAGGCAGGTGGATCACCTGAGGTCAGCAGTTCAAGATCAGCCCGGCCAACATGGCGAAATCCTGTCTCTATTAAAAATACAAAAATTAGCAGGTTATGGTGGCAGGCACCTGTAGTCTCAGCTACTTAGGAGGCTGAGGCAGAAGAATTGCTTGAACTCAGGAGGTGGAAGTTGCAGTGAGCCAATATCATGCCACCGTACTCTAGTCTGGGGGACAAAGTGAGACTCACTCTCAAAAAAAAAAGATAAACAAGAGTGACAGTAAACTGAAACACAGAATGTTAACAGCAGAACGAGGATCCAAATTGGATTTCCCCACACGGAGGGCCACCAATCCATCTAAGAAACTCAACTACCCAGAGCTGATACACAAGGACATCTACACGCCAACCCTTGAAATCAGCTTTGCTAACGTACAATGCCTGATGCCCAGTGTCCATGCCACCTAAGGCCACGGAAGTTACCCTCATCCTACTGCTCCGGAAGCTGGGCTGGAAATCCCCACGCTGGTCCCAGAGTAACCCAGGGCTGCAGGAGGGGATGTCAAAGTCGGGCCACATGCCAATGGCACAGCGCCCCCTACCTTCCGATAGACAGCCCCAATGACGGCGGTCTTGATCCTCATGCCGCTGACGAAGCAGATGTGGAAGTACTGGTGCAGCACCAGGGTCTGCAGGCAGGCAGCGACGAACAGCAGCGCGGTGTAGAAGTAGCCCTGCCAGTCTGGGGCCTTTGTGTCATTCACAAAGTTGATGAGCAACCTGCAAAAGAACAAAGAGACGGCCTGGAATGACTTGTGACATGTGGGGGCAGGGAAAAGGGCTTCAGTGTTGGCATTGCAACTTTCTCCTGAGCCAGACTGGCTAGACACTATCACTTCAGTTTCACAGATGGAAAAACAAGTCCACAGCGGTGATCTGGCTGTGCAGGTGGCCCAAACTGCTCATAACAGAGGCCTCTGTCTTGGGGTTGTGTACTAAATACTCTAGCTCTCTCTCATCACCAGCAAGTCCCAAAGGAATTGCACAGGGAACACCAGGGAAAGAGGTAGGGAGGGAAAGAGAATGAATGTGTAGCCCCTAAGTCACAGAGCAGCACAGAGCCAGGGAGGAGAGAGGCAACCTCCTTTCCGACTCCCCGGTTCCTGGTTGCAGTTTTGTTTTGTTTTTTTTTTCTTTTTTTTGGAGACAAAATCTCACTCTGTCGCCAAGGCAGGAGTTCAGTGAAGCGATCTTGGCTCGCTGCAGCCTCTGCCTCCTGGGTTCAAGCAATTCTTATGTCTCAGCCTTCCAAGTAGCTGGGATTACAGGTATGTGCCACCACACCCAGCTAATTTTTGTATTTTTAGCAGATGGTTTTGCCATGTTGGCCAGGCTGGTCTTGAACACTTGACCTCAGGTGATCTGCCCGCCTCAGCCTTCCCAAGTGCTGGGATTACAGGCATGAGCCACTGCGCCCAACCCTGGTTGCATTTTTTAATGAGATCTGCTGGCATTTCCTTGCTCTTGGTTTCCCAAGACAATGCCATATCCTCCCCATTTGGGTTTCAGGGGAGCCTAGTGGGTTTCTGTTACTTGCAAACAAAGTGGTCTTCACTAATATGGTAATTAAGTAAAGCGTAAAGCAAAGCTAGGCAGTGACCGTGGCTCACATCTGCAATCCCAGCACTTTGGGAGGCCGAGGCAGGAGGATTGCTTGAAGTCAGGAGCTCGAGACCAGCCTGACCAACATTAAAAAGCAAGACCCTGTCTCTATTTTTTTCAAAAAAGCTAAGGTAAAATGGAGACATCTGGCTATGAACCCACTTCAGGACACAGCATGACCCTGGGGTTATGACTGATGCAAATGAAAGATCAAACCCAAGGAGGGAAAACGGAGCCCACCTGGAAGGAAAGGGGTCTTACTTTAAGATCTCCGGCCCGGAAAACATCATCAAGTCGTGGATGGCCTTAAAGAAGAAGCTCATGAGGAAGTAGGGCCCAAAGGTCTTGTATAACACCTTAAACAGGGAGGGGTTCCACTCCTTCTGTGGGGACTTGACAATCAAAGCCTCCACCTCCTCATTCGCATCCACCTTGGAACTGTCTTTTGGCTGGGCAGGATCCTTGGAGGAGTACACGACCTTCACTGGCTGCCTGGAACACAAGGAAGTGAAGCCGTTGTGGCGTCTGCCAGTGACGCAGCGCCCCCACCGGAGGGACATGGCCAGGGAAAGTCACCCTTCGGGGAAGGCAGAGTCAAAGACGACAAGCCCAGGGAGAGGGCAGCTCAGCACAGCGGTTACAAACACGGACTCTAGAGCCACTGGCTCAAGGTCTGGCTTGGCCACTGGCCAGCTGCGTGGCTTCAGGCAAGGTCCTTAAACTCTCTGGGCCTCAGTTTCCTCCTCTGTGAAATGAGGATAAAAGCAGGACCTCCCTCCAAGATAGGTAAGATTAAACAAGTTGAGTAAGTGAAAGACTGAGAAAACTGATGGCTCCAAACTGATCTAGAGTCAAGGTAATCCCTATCAAAACCCCAGCTGGCTTCCAGGTAGAAATTAATGAGCTAACTCTAAAATTCACATGGAAACTCAAGGATCCACAACAGTCAAAACGATCATGCAAAATAAGAACCAAGTTGGAGAATTCACAGTTTCTGATTTCAAAACAATACAAAACAACAATCATGGCCAGGCATGGTGGTTCACACCTGTAATCCCAGCACTTTGGGAGGACAAGGCGGGTGGATCACTTGGGGTCGGGAGTTTGAGACCAGCCTGACCAACATAGTGAAACCCCATCTCTACTAAAAGTACAAAAATTAGCTGGGCGTGGTGGCAGGTGCCTGTAATCCCAGCTACTTGGGAGGCTGAGGCAGGAGAATTACCTGAACCTGGGAGGTAGAGGTTGCTGTGAGCCCAGATGGCACCATTGTCTCAAAAACAAAGAACAACAATAGGCCAGGCACAGTGGCTCACACCTATAATCCCAGCACTTTGGGAGGCCGAGGTGGGCGGATCACCTAAGGTCAGGAGTTCAAGACCAGCCTGACCAACATGGAGAACTCCTGTCTCTACTAAAAATACAAAATTAGCCAGGCATGGTGGCGCATACCTGTAATCCCAGCTACTTGGGAGGCTGAGGCAGGAGAATCGCTTGAACCCAGGAGGCAGAGGCTGTGGTGAGCTGAGACTGCACCACTGCACTCCATCCTGGGCAAAAAGAGTGAGACTCCATCTCAAAAAAAAAAAAAAGAACAATAATCAAGACAGGCATATACAGATATACAGTTCCATGCAAAAAAAAAAAAGAGAGAGAGAGAGAGAGAGAGAGAGAGAAAGAGACCAGCCAGGGCAACACAGCAAGACCCTGTTTCTTAAAAAAATTTTTTTTTCACTAGGTGCAGTGGTTCATGCCTGTAATCCCAGCACTTTGAGAGGCTGAGGGGGGTGGATCACTTGAGGTCAAGAGTATGAGAACAGCCTGACCAACATGGCAAAACCTCATCTCTACTAAAAATACAAAAAATTAGCCAGGCATGGTGGTGGGTGTTTGTAATCCCAGCTACTTAGGAGGCTAGGAAGAAGAATTGCTTGAACCCAGGAGGAGGAGGAGGTTGCAATGAGCTGAGGTCGCGCCACTGCACTCCAGCCTCAGCACCAGAGCAAGATTCTGTCTTAAAAAGCAAGTAAATAAAATTGACTGTGATGATGACTGCACAACTCTGTGAACACACTAAAAATCAATAAATTGTATGTTCTGCATACATGAATCGTGTGGTATATGAATATCTCAATAAAGCTGTCACCAAAAAACTAGTCTTTATCTTACAGGGATTTTTTTCTTTTTTTTTGAGATGGAGTCTTGCTCTATCACACAGACTGGAGTGCAATGGTGCGATCTCGACTCACTGCAACCTCTGCCTCCCGGGTTCAAGCAACTCTCTTGCCTCAGCCTCCCAGGTAGCTGGGATTACAGGCGTGCACCACCACACCCGGCTCATTTTCATATTTTTAGTAGAGACGGGGTTTCACCATGTTAGTCAAGCTGGTCTCGAACTCCTCACCTCAAGTGATCCGCCTGCCTCGGCCTCCCAAAGTACTGAGATTATGGACATGAGCCACCGTGCCCGGCCAATAGTTCATTCTTGTACATCAGTTAGTATTCAGTCATGCAGATGCACATAACTAGTACATCTGTGTGTTCACTTGCTAATATTTGTCTGGCTTACCTTCAATTTGGGTTATCACAAAGTAGCTAAGAACATTCCTGTACCAGTCTTTTATGAACATATGTTCTCAGCTCTCTTGGGTGGATGCCTGGGAAGTGAGTGACTGGCGGTATGGTCACTATGTCTAACTTTAAAAAAAAAAAAACTGCCAAACTCTTCCAGAGTCACAGAAACATTTCACATTCATGCCAGCAGAAACCATAGTCCAAAATGGCCCTAAGCTCTGAGTGGCCATGCACAAAAGAGAACATAAAACCACTACACACAAACCAGCGCAGTACTGGGTTTTTAAACCCAAAGGTAGAGCAGGGAGATCACTCACACCTGCCTTTTTTTTTTTTTTTTTTTTTTTTTGAGATGGAGTCTCATTCTGCCACCCAGGCTGCAGTCCAGTGGTGCAATCTTGGCTCATTGCAACCTCCACTTTCCGGGTTCAAGCAATTCTTGTGCCTCAGCCCCCCAGTAGCTGGCGAACGCCAACACACCTGGCTAATTTTTGTATTTTTAGTAGAGACAGGGATTCACCATGTTGGCCAGGCCAGTCTCAAACTCATGAACTCAGGTGATCTTCCTGCCTCAGCCTCCCAAAGCGCTGCGATTATAGGCATGAGCCACGATGCCCAGCCGTACCGGACTTTTGAGAGGGAGTCACTCAGGGGTGGAGAGAGGCAGTAAAGGGATCCAGAAAGTCACGCAGACCCCTCAGCCCAGGCGTCCCTCACCTGATCCCCGAGCCTAGGACACCCAGCAGCCCCGAGTTGCACAGGCTGCATTCCTTTCTCTGGTTAACTAAAGGGATCTGGGTGTAAGGGGCCACACCAGGAAATTCCAGCCTAGGACAGGGTTTTCCTTGTCACTCTCCCCAGGTTCACAGGGGTTACAGGTGCCAGATCTGGCTTACGGCTCTGGGAATAAAGCAAGCAATCCGTCTACCAGTGTCCCAAGGAAATGACCTCCTGGCCCCATGCTGAGCATCCCTAAACACCAAGGTACTCACAGAGGCAGACCCCTCTCAGGTGGCCCGCTTCCAAGCCCAAAGACCCAGTTCTCACCACATTCTCCCCAGCAAGATGGAAGCGTACAGATGAATAAATACAACTTGTACAACTAAAACCTGCCCAGCATTTACTCAGGACTAGTGCACAGCTTATCACGACATATATCTCACTGAATTCTCAGAAAATGCTCTGGGTAAAAAATGGAGGCTCCAGTCAGGCACAGTGGCTCTCGCCTGTAATCCCAGCACTTTGGGAGGCCAAGGTAGGTGGACTGCTTGAGCACAGCCTGGGCAACATGGCGAGACATCATCGCTACAAAAAAAAATAGCCAGGTGTGGTGACGCATGCCTGTAGTCCCAGCTACTTGGGAGGCTGAAGTGGGAGGATCACTCCAGCCTAGGAGATGTAGGTTGCAGTGAGCCGAGATCGCGCCACTGTACTCCAGCATGGACGAAAGAGTGACTCCCTGTCTCAAAAAAAAACAAACAGAGGCTCCCAGTGAGGCATGAAGGGACTTCATGGACAACCCTTGAGGTCCCCATCCTGGTCTCCCTGCTTTCATTCTTGTCCCTAATATCCACCTTCCTCAGGGCGGCTTGGGTTGTCATAAACCAGAACTCAGCTGGGTGTGGTGGCTCACACCTACAATCCCACCTACTTGGGAGGCTGAGGCAGGAGGACTGCTTAAAGCCAGGAGTTGGAGACAAGCCTGAGCAACATAGTAAGACCTGTCTCTATAAAAAAAATTTAAAAAGGCCGGGCGCAGTGGCTCACATCTGTAATCCCAGCACTTTGGGAGGCCGAGGCAGGTGGATCACCTGAGGTCGGGAGTTTGAGACCAGCCTGACCAACATGGAGAAACCCCATCTCTACTAAAAATACAAAATTAGCCAGGCGTGGTGGTACGTGCCTGTAATCCCAGCTACTCGGGAGGCTGAGGCAGGAGAATCGCTTGAACCCGGGGAAGTGGAGGTTGCAGTGAGCCAAGATTGCGCCATTGCACTCCAGCCTGGGCAACAAGAGCAAAACTCCATCTCAAAAAAATAAATAAAATATAAAACATAAATTAATTAATTAGCCAGGCATGGTGGTGTGCACCTGTAAACCCAGCTACTCTGAAGGATGAGGTGGGAGGATTGCTTGAGCCCGGAATTTCCAGGCTGCAATGAGCGGTGATTATGCCACTACAATCAAGCCTGGGCAACAGAGCAAGACCCTGTCTCTAAAATAAATAAATACATACATACATACAGACATACAACAGAACTCACGTCACAGCACTGCCCTGCAGAAAACCTGCCCATGTTCTCACTGCACCTGGAACCCCACCCTGACTCTCAGAGGAGACCTCTGCAAATCCTTCTCCTGCTTGATTTCCTCCCTTCCTCCTCCTTGCTCACTTTGCTCAAGCCACACGAGCCCCCTGCTGCACCACGAGCGTCCTCAGACCCTTTGCACTTTCTGTTCCCTCTACCTGGAAAGCCCTTCCTTCCCCCAGAGACACACAAGGTTCACTCCCTCCGGTGAAGTCTCTGCTCAAATGTGACCTTCTCAAAACAGACATACACGGTCAGCTGGGCATGTTGAACAAAAACACTTCAAAAAGCAGTAACACTCAGGATGCCAGATGCTCGGAAAGAGGCAGAGACAGACTTAGGGAGGGACAGGCACATGCTCACCAAGAGTCATGGCCGCACTGGGTAGAACTCTGACCACTGTATCTAAAATAGCTCCCTCGGCCGGGCACGGTAGCTTCATGCCTCTAATCCCAGCACTTTGGGAGGCCAAGGCAGGAGGATCACTTGAGGTCAGAAGTTCGAGACCAGCCTGGCCAACATGGTGAAACCCCATCTCTACTAAAAACACAAAAACTAGTCAGGCATGGTGGCATGCACCTGTAATCCCAGCACTTTGGGAGGCCGGGACAGGAGAACTGCTTGAACCCGAGAGGCAGAGGTTACAGTAAGCCGTGATCACACTACTGCACTCCAGCCTGGGTAACAGAGAGAGACTCCATCTCCAAAACAAACAAACAAAAACAACAACAACAAAAAGCTTCCTCGGTTACTCTCACCCTCACTTCCTCATTTTTATCTCACCCCAGCACTATCACTCTCCAAAGATCTTGTCAACGCATGTTTCACAACCCACGTCCTATCTCCCATATAGAACGTTGATGGCACACAACTAGAGTGTGTCTCTTGTGTTCCACTCTCTGAACCCTCAGGGACTAAACATCACGAAGCACAAAAGCAGCAGTCAGTTTCATCTGCTCAATGGATTAAGGGCCAGGCCAATGGAGGAACTTCTTGATTCAAACTCCGTCCTCCTCCTGAGGCTGTGATATTGGCCTCTCCCACGGTGTCTCCAGCAATGTGCTCTCCTGGCAAGCTCCCGGGGACACAAAGGTGGGCATCCTTCTTCCACGAGAGGAAGCCGAGCCAGGGGATCAGCAGAGGCGTGGATGACGAGGAATGCGGAAGCCCACGCTACAAATGTGGTCTGCTTAGCGCGGGGGATGCTGCAGGTGAGGCTGAAGGGATCCAGATGTGATGGGTGATGTTAGGGGTCACGTTGACTGGGTTAAGGGCTACCCAGATGGCTGGTAAAGTGTTATTTCTGGGTGTGTCTGTGAGGGTGTTTCTACAGGAGACTGGCATTTGAATCAGTGGGCTGACTCAGGAGGACCCATCCTCGCCCCATGTGGGTGGCACCACCCAATCAGCAGAGGGTCCAGGCACAACAAAAAGTCAGAGTAATGGCAAATGCAGGCGCTCTCTCTTCTGCGGCCGGGATGTCATCCTCTCCCGCCCTTGGACATCTCAACTCCACGATGTCTGGCCTCTGCACTATGGGACTTACCCCAGGGACTCCAGGTTCTCAGGCCTTTAATCATGGACTGAGGATTCCATCATCAACTTCCCTGGGTCTGAGACCTTCAGACTTGGCCTGAGCCATGCTACCAGCTTCCTGGGTTCTCCAACTTGCAGATGACCTAGTGTGGGACTTCTCAGCCTCCATAATCACATGATTCAGTTTCCCTAGTAGATCCCCTCTCACCCTTGATTCATCCATCCATCCATCCATCCATCCATCCACCCATCATTGATCAATCATCCACCTATCATCCATCTATCATCTATCCATCCACCTATCATGTACACATCCACCAACTATCTATCCATCTATCATCTACCTATCATCTATCAATCATCATCTATCATCTATCTATCCATCCATCCATCAGTCCTACTAGTTCTGTCTCCATGAAGAACTGTAATAAACAGGGATGCCACCTCCGCCTGCCAAAGACCTTCAACTGGGTCATGGACATGGGCCATTTCCTTACAATGCTCAGCCACAGATGCCCAAGCTCTATCTGCCTCCCACGAGACAATTTCTCCCATCACCTGGACCACCCAAACAGTCTCCCACCAGAGTCACGAGGTCCTCTGCTGATATCCTAGTGGCTGGCACCATGGATGTCCCAGATTCCCACCTACCATCTGGGTCTGACTAAAGGTCTCTATCCTGGGCGTCCCCGGAACAGAAGGAGGAACTGAACCCGGGTCTGGGGTTTTTCCCTGTAACGCCAATAGGTCTATGGGGAATCCAATGCACCAGACTGGCCCCCTCACGGCTTATCGTAGTAAACCTATCCCGGAACAGGCAACAGGAACAAAAACAGCTGTTCTACTGGCCCCAGAGCAGCAACCCACTGGCCCCACATCACCTGCAATTTCATGTTCCAGCTCGTCCGGGCTCAGGACACGTCTTATGTCCTTGTTTAATTTGCAGCTGCTTTTCTTTCTTACTGTTACGTAGAATAATAACACATCGTGCAACTAATGGCGTCTCAAATCTGATAAGTTAAGGTATGTGCAGCGGTGGCCCTGGCCTGATTCCCGAAAGAATGACAGAGGAGGTGCAGTGGGGCATGCCTTACATAGGGGGTAGAGTATAAAATCCAGTACAGCCAAAATCACCCTCAAATGGGGCTTCTTTGGCTAAACAGACGTACATGGTCAGCTGGGCATGTTGGACAGAACATTCAAGCAGCAAGAACATGCAGGATGCCAGATGCTAAGAGACGAAAAAGGTGAGACTGACTCAAGGAGGAATAGTCACAGGTCATGGCAAACAGCATCAACTGCCTGCTTGGATAGCATTTTTCTTTCTTTCTTTTCTTTTCTTTTTTTTTTTTTTTGAGACGGACTCTCACTCTGTCTCCCAGGCTAGAATGCAGTGGTGCAATCTCAACTCACTGCAACCTCCGCCTCCTGGGTTCAAGTGATTCTCCTGCCTTAGCCTCCTGTGTAGCTGGGATTACAGGCGCATGCCACCACACCCTGCTAATTTTTGTACTTTTAGTAGAGCTGGGGTTTCACCGTGTTGGTCAGGCTGGTCTCAAACTCCCAACCAAGTGATCCACCTGCCACGGCCTCCCCAAGTGCCGCGACTACAGACATAAGAGCCACCACGCCTAGCTTCTTTCTTCTTTTCTCTACCCAGTTGCCTTAATGACATGTTAGATTCTACCCCATTTGGCAGAAAAGTAAACTGAGGCCAGGAGGAGAAGTGAGGCATCTTGCCCAGAACCACAAAGCTAGTAACAGGCAGCATTGCCAGGGCCCCACGCTGGATTCAGGCCATAGTAGCGGAAAGGAGGTGACCGGGGCATCCTGGAGGCCAAGGAAACTCACACTTACTTCCTAGTCTTGGCGCATTCCTTCTTCCAGTTCTTTACCAAAACAGGCACGACTTGCTCCGACGTGTCCTCCTTGTTTAAGGACCAGAGGTCACTGCCCTCCAGGGGCTGGCGGTAGCCCCGGACAATCAACCTGGGGCCAAGACACAAGGAGGTTAGGCAATGAGAGTCAATGAGAGAAGGAGGAGGACGGGGCTCGCTCACTCCACACGCCTGCTGATGCAGCACAACTGCCCATTGCAAATGACGGCAGCCACGCAGCTGGGAAAGTCAGAATGTGGATGGACATTTCTGCATATTACAAGGTAATTACAGCTCATTCTGTTGGGTCATGCAGGAAAAATGACTTTTTTTTTTTTAGTGGTGCATACAAAAGACTTAGGGAAAAAAAGATGATTTAGGAGAGAAATATCAGGATGGCTCTAATTTATTTTTTATTATTCATTCATTCATTTACTTATTTGGAGACAGGGTCTCGCTGTGTCACCCAGGATGGAGTACAGTGGTGCAACTGCGGTTCCCTGCAGCCTCCAGCTCCTGGTCTAGAGCAATCCTCCCACCTCAACCTCCCGAGTGGCTGGGACTTTGGGTGCAAGCCGTTGTGACTAGCTAATTTTTTTTATTTTTTGTTTTTGTGGAGACAGAGTCTCCCTATGTTGCCCAAGCTGGTCTTGAACCCCTGGGCTCAAGCAATCCTCCCACCTTGGCCTCCCAAAGTCTTGGGATTACAGGCATGAGCCACCGTGCCCCGCCAACTTTTTAAAATTTTAAATTAAAAAAGGCTGATATGGGCCAGGCATGGTAGCTCATGCCTATAATCCTAGCACTTTGGGAGGCTGAGGTGGGAGGACTTTGTGAGTCTAGGAGTTCAAGACCAGCCTGGGCAACATAGGGAGACTATCTCTACAAAAAGTAAAAATAAAAAAATTAGCCAGTCATAATGGCTCTCACCTGTAGTCCCAGCTACTCAGGAGGCTGAGGTGGGAGGATTGCTCAAGGCCAAGAGGTGGAGGCTGCAGAGAGCCGTGATTGTGTCACTGCACTCCAGCCTGGGCAACAGAGTCAGACCCCATTAAAAAAATAATAATAAAAAAAAGAAGGAAAAAATAAAAAAATAAAAAGGCTGACATGACAAAGCATTAGCAAGCATGAAATGTGGGTGATGAGCTTACTGAGTTTTATTATATTAATCTTTCTATGTGACTCACGCAGGCTGGAGTGCAATGACACGATCTCGACGCACTGCATGGATTCAAGCAATTCTCCTGCCTCACTCTCCCAAGTAGCTGGGATTACAGGCATGTGCTGCCCGGTTAATTTTTGTATTCTTAGTGGAGACAGGGTTTCACCATGCAGGCCAGGCTAGTCTCGAACTCCTGACCTCAGGTGATCCACCTACCTTGGCCTCCGAAAATGCTAACATTACAGGCATGAGCCACCGCGCCCAGCAGACTAAACACTTTTATAATAAAAGGTAAAACACTTTCATCTTTTGTTCTGATTTTGAACTTACAGAAAAATTACTCAAATCATACTAAGAATTCACTCAACTCACCACTGTTAACATGTTGCCATGTGGGCAGTATCATTCTCTGTCTCTATCCACTGACACGTACACACACACACACACACATATGCAAACACACCACCTTTTTCCGAATCATTTAAACAGTTAAAGGTCTGGCACGGTGACTCGCACATGTAAACCCAGCATCTTGGGAGGCTGAGGTGGGTGGATCACCTAAGGTCAGAAGTTTGAGACTAGCCTGGACAATATAGTGAAACCCCATCTCTCCTAAAAATACAGAAATTAGCTGGGTGTGGTGGCAGGTCCCTGTAATCCCAGCTACTCAGGAGGCTGAGACTGGAGAATCTCTTGAACTCAAGAGGCAGAGGTTGCAGTGAGCTGAGATCCTGCCACCGCACTCCAGCCTGGACGACAGAGCGAGACTCGTCCCATTAAAAAAAAAAAAAAAAAAAGTTAACATATAGGTTCTACATGCCTTATGCCTTTACCCCAAAAAAACTGGAGGCATCCCCTTCCAATCCAGGACATGCTCTTATTTAACTAGAGCACAATTTCCCAAAAGAAGAATGAAAGTTATTAACATACATCCGGTGTCCTGTAGTCATGTGCAAATTATATCAACTGTCCCAGTGATGCTTTTTAACAGTAATTTCAAGTAATTATTTAAAACATCCAATTTTTTAAAAAGATGTTTGTCATTAAGACAAAGATGAGAGCGGGCATGGTGGCTCATGCCTGTAATTCCAGCATTCTGGGAGGCTGAGGCGGGAGAATCACTTGAGCTCAGGAGTTGGAGACCAGCCTGGGCAACATGATGAAATCCCATCTCTACAGAAAGTTCAAAAATCTGCTGGGCACAGGGGAGCATGCCTGTAGTTCCAGCTACTCAGGAGGCTGAGGCAGGAGCATCACCTAAACCCAGTAGAGTGGGACTGCAGTGAGCTACAATTGTGCCACTGCACTCCAGCCTTAGCAACACAGCAAAAGCCTGTCTCAAAAAAAAAAAAAAAAAAAGATGATGCATATTAGGGGCAAAAAAAGATCCTTCAAACAATCCCCAATAAGATGCTAACAATGGGCAGAAAAAGATGTACAAAAAGAGAACCAGAGGTAGCTGGACATGGTGGCTCATACCTGTAATCCCAGCACTTTGGGAGGTCGATGTGGGTGGACCACCTGAAGTCAGGAGTTCAAGAACAACCTGGCCAACATGGCAAAACTCTGTCTCTACTAAAAATACAAAAATTAGCAGGGCATGGTGGCGCACACCTGTAATCCCAGCTACCTGGGAGGCTGAGGCAGGAGACTCACTTGAACCTGGGAGGCGGAGGCTGTAGTGAGCTGAGATTGACAGAGCGAGACTCCGTCTCCAAAAAAAAGAAAGAAGACCAGAAGCTGGCATACTAAAATGGTGAAACTGGTTGCCTCTGTGTGTTTCCTTACTGCTGATCTGCACATGTGGTTTTTTAACCCACATTTCCCATGGTGAGACAGTATTATTTCTCTAAGGAGTGGGGGGCAGGAGGGGGACAATCTTAAGAGTAACTATACGTAATATTTTAAAAACCCAAATCTGAAGCTAAAGCAAGAGCAGTCCAGCGTGTGGCTGTCCCAGGCAAAGCCTTCTGCAGAGGTGTAAGCTGCTCACGGCTCCTGTGTATATCACATTCAAGTTCATGGAACTGATGGACAGAGGTGGTGTCTCTGAGACCACATGGCCAGCACAGGCAGATTCAAGACAACTACGCTGAAGAGCGAAGAAGGGAGAAGTCGGGGGGGAGCTGAGCATGTTCATGTTCATTCGTTCATTCATTCATTCATTCATTCCCCACCACCTCCCTGAGGTCTGGGGGGCCCAGCCTTACCCTGTGATCCACCAGAAGGTGATCCTGGACAGGAAGGAGGCGCTGGACTCCGGGCAAGGATTCTAGTGGAAAGAAAGCACAGGTTTGGGAGGAACAGGGAAAGGAACGATTCAACTTTTCATCCAGGTCAGAGCTTAGCAAGGGGTAGTCAGCTGCTCACTCTTCCTTCCAGAGGACCAGCGTCAGCTCCACACCATTCTGCACCCCAAAAGGATCCTCTCCTAATCCCCAGCAGAAAGAAACTCATGGCAGCTCCTCCAGTTTCAATCAACAGAGTGTCTACTGTGTGCAACCATAACACAACATGCTACAGACCTGCCTTATCTTGTATCCCCGTAACAACCCTAGGAGCTGGTGTTAACGTCATCCCTACTTCACTCATTCATTCAACAAATATTTTCTGGAGCACCTACTATGTGCTAGGCATTCTACAAACTACTACAGGGTTGCCTTGTATCCCCACAGCAACCTCATGAGTGGGTGTTACTATTGTCCCCACTTTACTCATTTGGTCACTGAATATTTATTGACCACCTACTCTGTGCTAGACACTCTACCAAGAGCTTATATATTTGCATTATTTTATATCCTCATGGAATTCTATAAACATGGTATTACTATTATCTCCACTTCATTCCTTCATTCATCCAACAAGTATTTTCCGAGCACTACCCTTGTGCCAAGCACCCTGCATACAAATCTAAACAAACAGAAATGACCCCTGCCTGTATGGAGCTTGCGGTCTACTGCAACAATCATCAGTAATACCTGCCAAGATTCTCTACTATTAATAGCTGGCTCTGTTCTAAGTGCTTTACACAAACTACCTTATTTAATCCTCATCCTCACCTCACAAGATAGATGAAAGTAATTATATCACCCCTGTTTTGCAGTTAAAAGAAACTGGGCCTGTAATCCCAGCACTTTGGGAGGCCGAGGCGGGCAGATCATGAGGTCAAGAGATCGAGACCATCCTAGCCAACATGGTGAAACCCCCGTCTCTCCTAAAAATACAAAAATTAGCTGGGTGTGGTGGTGGGCGCCTGCAGTTCCAGCTATTTGGGAGGCTGAGGCAGGAGAATCACTTGAACCCAGGAGGCGGAGGCTGCAGTCAGCCAAGATTGTGCCACTGCTCTCCAGCCTGGCAACAGAGCAAGACTATCTCAAAATAAAAATAAAATTAAATCTAAAAACTGGGGACCAGAGACGAAAAGATACGTTCAAGGTCCCACAGCTAAAAGTGGTGGAGTCAGGATGTGAGCCCCAAAGAGTCAGGCTTCAGAGACAGACATGCTTCAAATGATCACATGAACAAATGCAAAACTACAACTCTGGGCCTTGATGTGCATCCTGAAGGGAAAGAAATATTACCAACAAGACAAAGTAAGTGCATGGGGGCTGATCTGGTGTACCAAGGCCAGAGAAGGCTCCCCCGAGGAAGACAGTCAAGCTGGCACCTGAAGGGTGAGTAGAGGAGAACTAAGTAATGAGGAAACGCAACGCATTCCCAGCAGACAGCAGTGTGTGCAAAGGCCCGGTGGCAGAAGGAAGCATGGCAGACTCTAGGAACCAAGAAGGGGCCTGAGCAGTCTACACTGGAAGCTGTGCACAGTCTACACTGCAGGCCACATATTTTGGTCTTCATTCTAAGGGCAATGGGAAGTACCGAGAGATTCTAAGCAAGCTATCGAATAACTTATTTCCCAGAGGTATGAAGATGAGCCCCAAGTCAACAACACGCAGGCAAGGAAAGGGACCAACACAGAGGTCCTGGGATGACAGACAAAGTCTGGCTTTCAACATGGATGCATCCGGGTCTCAATTCTGAAACACAGGCTTTAGCAGCAGAGGGAAGAGAGGTCACCACGCAGTAATGAAAGCTTTAGCCAAGGACTCCACTCAAAGTTCCAGCCTTGTGCAGCTCTAACGTGTTTACAGAGCCAGATAAGGCGGCATACTCTCCTCAAGTGGTTTTTCCATTCAAGGCTGGGAGTGCTTTTAAAAAAATACTGTATCCTGGCTGGGTGTGGTGGCTCACGCCTGTAATCTCAGCACTTTGGGAGGCCAAGGTGGGCAGATCACTTGAGGTCAGGAGTTCGAGACCAGCCTAGGCAACATGGTGAAACCCCGTCTCTACCAAAAATACAAAAAATTAGCTGGATGTGGTGGCTCACGCCTGTAATCCCAGCTACTCGGGAGGCTGAGGCAGAATTGCTTGAACCCACAAGGCAGAGGATGCAGTGAGCTGAGATTGTGCCACTGTACTTCAGCCTAGGGACCCTGTCTCAAAAAAAAAATTTTTTTTTAATATAAAAAATACTGTATCCGGGCCCTACCCGCACCAGGGATTCTGATTAAGTTTGTTTGGGGTAAGACTGGGGCACTGAAGCTTTTTGTTTCAAACTTCCAGATTTTTCTTGGAAAAGTGGCTGGGCAGGAAATAAGCAAGGTAAGCCAAGAACATCTTGTTACACCAGACAACAAGGAAACTAAGCATGAACAGGATTGTTAAAAGGTTCAAGAGCCAAGCAGAAGTGGCCGCTGCAGGCTAAGAGAGGGACAATTTGAGCTTTGACAAGAAGAGTAAGTACAACGGGCTAAAACATATCACGCATGGTTTTTTTGTTTTGTTTTTTGAGATGGAGTCTCGCTCTGTCGCCCAGGCTGGAGTCCAGTGACATGATCTTGGCTCACTGCAACCTCTGCCCCCTGGGTTCAAGTGATTCTCCTGCCTCGGCCTCCCAAGTAGCTGGGATTACAAGCGTGAGCTACCACACTGGGCTAATGTTTGTATTTTAAGTAGAGATGGGGTTTCATCATGTTGGCAAACAGGCTGGTCTCGAACTCCTGACTCAAGTGATCTGCCCACCTTGGCCTCCCAAAGTGGTGGGATTACAGGCTTGAGCCACCGTGCCCGGCCTTATCACATATGTTTATATACAGAAGTTTCATATTGACGCTGGGAATAAAGAAACATCTGATGTTGCCAGTGAACCAGGTCATCGTTTGAAAACAGAAAACGCGGAAAAAAACAAGTATTTTCTCCACCTTTCCCAAATGTAATCATTTGGTTCACCAGGGTCAGAGAAGGCTTCCCCGAGGAAAATAGTCATTTATTCCATCACTACAGAGTGATCAGTGATCAAAAAAATGAAGGGGAAACTCTTTTCCATAAAAAAATCCCAGCTAGGCCGGGGGCGGTGGCTCAAGCCTTTAATCCCAGCACTTTGGGAGGCCGAGATGGGTGGATCACGAGGTCAGGAGATCGAGACCATCCTGGCTAACACGGTGAAACCCCGTCTCTACTAAAAAATACAAAAAAACTAGCCGGGCGAGGCGGCGGGCGCCTGTAGTCCCAGCTATTCAGGAGGCTGAGGCAGGAGAATGGCGTAAACCCAGGAGGCAGAGCTTGCAGTGAGCTAAGACCCGGCCACCGCACTCCAGCCTGGACGACAGAGCGAGACTCCATCTCAAAAAAAAAAAAAAATCCCAGCTAAAACATGAATAATCATATAAGAATGAACCACTGTGCAACCACAATGGATTACTAGAATATTTGAAATTATTATTAAAGGTCACATATATATGTTTTTTGTCAAGACAAGGTCTGGCTTTATTGATCAGGCTGGTCTCAAACTCCTGGGCTGAAGTGATCTTCCTGCCTCAGCTTCCCAAAGAGCTGGAATAACAGGCATGAGCCATCACATGCAGCCCAACAGTTACAGTTTTAAAAATCTTTATCTTTTAGATGTTATCATTAGAGAAAGTTGAACAATGGACATCAGGAACTCTGCTATTTTTGTAACTGTTTGAGAGCCAAACTATTGCGAAATAAAAAGTCATTAAAAATAAACAACAACAAAATCCATGTCCTTCGGAGATACATACTAAAATGTTCACCTATGCAATGCATGGTAAAGAGCTCATGACAGCTGGGCGCAGTGGCTCACATGTGTAATCTCAGCACTTTGGCAGGCTGAGATGGGAGAATTGCTTTGAGTTCAGGAGTTCGAGACCAGCCTGAGCAACATGGCAAGACCCCGTCTCTACAAAAAATATAAAAATTGGCCGTGCCTGTAGTCCCAGCTACTCGAGAGGCTGAGGCACAAGAATGGCTTGAACCCAGGAGGCAGAGGTTGCAGCGAGCTGAGATTGTGCCATCACACTCCAGCTTGGGTAACAGTGAGACACTATCTCAAAGATAAATAAAAAGAAAAAGAGCTCTTGGTAGTTCATTATCCTATGCTGTCTACTTTATATTTCCATCATAAAAGGCTAAATAAAAAGCTCCTCCAGTGATTCAAATACATAGCCCGGACTAAGGATCAGGCTCTACTCTGGGGCTCAGAGGGGTGAAGTTCCCAGCCCTGCCAGTTCACTAGAATCACCTGAGGAGTTCGTTAAGCGCAAGGGCCTAAGGTCCCACCCCAGACCAACTAAATCAGCACCTCTAGGGGGAGGACCCTGACAGCCACCCATTTTTAATAAGGCCATCAGATACAGCGGGTGCATGGACTACATTCCAGACCAACCGAAGCAGAGTTCAGATCAGACCGTGGACCCGGACAGGCCTGGGTTCTAATCCCAACCCTGCTATATTCTAGCTGATGACCTTGGGCAAGTCCCTTCACCTCCAAGCCTCAGTTTTTACATCTGGAAAATGGGAGTCATTTGTCCTACTGCTTGCTCGACCTACCCCACAGGACTGCCAGGAGGGACAAGTGACATGAGGCCCATGGGACTGTGTCGTAAAGCGGAATTTCTCCGACCTAAGGCGTGGAGGTAATGGTGTTTGCTTTGTAGGCTGAGTAGAAACGCTGCATTGTAGGCTGGTTTTTCATCCGGAAGAGCTGACGCCTTCCTGCCCACTCCCAGTTGGTGGGGTGGGTTATCTGGGAATTGCAAATCCATTTCACCTGCAGCCCAAGCCCTATCCACTGTGAAAGACCAAGGTGCAGAGAGAGGAGGAAGGGGTGGGGTATGGCTGTCAATGATTCATTTATTTCCTGGGCAGGACTTGCTTATAGGCCAGGATGTGGGTGAAGTGCTGCGGATTCAGCTG